CCTTAACCCTGCGCGAATCAATTTATCTTCACTTGTTTCACTACTTCCGTCAATACCGTGCAGAATGCGCGCTGTCGGCGGCGATCCTGGAATCTCTACAACGGAACCCGTCTGAATTAGAACCGTATATTAGAGTTAACGTTCTTTGTAATTACCGGTCGACCGGTTACTGCCTGACGACGATTATTTCACAGACACCGTAACTGCACTGTAACGAGTTAGAACTCGTGATGAAGATTTCATACACGGGCTACTATTGCATACGAGTGTTATTTATTTCTTTTAAATCGAAACAGATTCTTCTGGCATTGTTTGGAAACGAAAATGAACGAGAACATATAAGATATTCAAATTGTCTCTCGTTCTATTAGGGAAATTATTAACACTTATCCACCCGAAGTTTACTAAGAGTTTCTTTTCTTTTTATCGAAGACAAAAGCAGTTAAGAATTCCTTAAAAAATTGTTCACGAATTACAATAATTTCATCCATAATCCGTCAAATCGTTCAGATAATATAATGCAACGCGTTCTTTTTAAATTATAATATTATTCTGAGAAAATCCACCGTACACACTATGGCAGCAAAAATTGTATACTTTATACCTTTAAAAATTTAGTATTTGTTTTAACATTTCTTTTTTTTCTTTTCTTCCTCGTTGGCGCGCTCTGATCGATTATTATTGCATTCTTGCACCGCGTAACAACGTGTTTGCCCAGTTAGAACAATAAACATTATTACCATTTAAGAGTTCATTGAACCGCCTATAGAAAAGCCATAAGAAGTGTTAACACTATGTTCACCGACCATTTGTATACATCATTGTATACATCTATTTTTACCAAATTAATTTTATAGCGATTATAGAAAAACTTGAAAAGTATCTCGAGGAAAAATGATAAAACGTAAAGAATAATTTCGATAAAAAAGTTTAAAAGATGTCTTTTGATCTGTCCGGTGAAAATAGTGTTAAATTAAAATTTTAACACTTTGTCGACCGCTAGCCTATTTTTATCGGCTTTTCGATTGCCAATGTTTATCGATCGCTAGCCTATCAATCGGCTTTTCGATTGCCAATGCTTATCGACCGATAGCCTATTAATCGACTTTTAGCTATCGACGGTTTTCGCTTCTTTACTGTTTTGTTAGTAGCTGACCTCCTGTATGCTGACCTCCCCATATTCTTATGAATTATAATTATAATAATTATATTATTATTTATTATTATTTTTAAAGGAATAAGCACAACACAATGAATAGCGAAAATTTAGCCGGTACTGGGAGCAAATGCGCACGCGACTAAGCCAGTCCTTACTGAGTGGCAGCCTCAACCACGACCGGACGATAAAGTGTTAAGAGCTGTCTTTTGATCCATTTAGGAAAAACAGCATCGATCGACGCAACGGTGAAAGAAACTATATTTCGCAAAAGTGTCCTCCAGCGGATAAAACTGGCGTAGACCGCGAACAGTAGAACCGAGAGACCTTTTACCGAAAATGCAGCAGCGGGACTATCGGTAGCGGCCGATGGTTGCATCGATGGCCGCACAAGTCGGGTCGCCGGCGTGCCGGGCCCGTTTTTCCAGCGGCCGGCAATTAAGCCGAATCGGTGCTCGCGGCCGCGCTGCGCCACGAGGAAGGGGCATTGGAACGGGCATGTCAGCGTCGCGTTCATGCCTTTCCGAGCATCGGAATTGAAGAATTTACGAGGCCGGTCCGGCGAGCATTTGCCTTTTCACCGCGCCTCCCTTAACCGTTCCCGAGCTTCCTCGTATCTCCTTTAGCCGGTCTGCGCTCTCCCTCGCGTTCCCGCCGAATTTCGTTCGGTCCACGTCGAACGATCCTCTCTCCACCTTTCTCTCTCTCTCTCTCGCTCTCTCTTTCTCTCTCAGCTTCGCATCTCGTCCATCCATCCATCCGTCCATCGGTTCGTCCCGCAGCCGCGCGGATTCAATGTCCATGCAAAGTAAACGGCGGCCTCGAAACGGCTGTCAATTATCCGTTATATACGGCCCTGGCCCTCGAACCCATTCTTAACGACCCCTTAAACCTGGCCACAGCCCAGCTCCCTCCCCCTCGGCTTCGCATCGCGCCGAAAACTCTCGACGGGTCCCGGAGGACCTACATCGTCTCGACGACGACGACGACGACGGCGACGGCGACGAGAAGGAGGAACAGCAGGGAGGAGGAGGAGGACTGCGACGACGAAGACAACGACGACGACACGAACGACGCAGAAAGACGAAATTGAGGAGAAGGAAGACCGGCTGCGAACCGGGCCAGGGCGGCGAGGCGGTTTCCGGGAATCGTTTGGTATTCCAACGCTACCGCCACTCGCGGCACCTTCCTCCTTCAAACCGTGGACAGATTCCTTCACGGTCGCCGCAGTGGCCACCGATACACAGGGAACGACCGCCTCTATAGCCGCGCCGCGAACTGTGTCAGAATTGCAAATGGACAGCGAGCCCGGCACCCGACGGGACGACACGGGGAAGAAGAGAGCGCCGCTCGTCCCAGGGAAACGGGGCGCGAATTCCTACCTGTAATCCTCCAAGATGGATTCGAGAGCCGGCGCGGCACCGAGGAATTCAAGGCGGGAACTGTTTCGGGAATCGGTGGGAAAAGAGCCACCGATTCGCCGAGCGACGCGCGGCCCTTTGTCCTAGGAAACGAGACCACTTCCTGTCCTCGACGCGTTATTTTATGTGGACGATGGGGGAGGGGTGACGTCCCTCTCGAAGAGCCCGACGGAATGTAGATCGAAACACTTTGATCAAAGTGTTACCGGGCTTGAAGAAATGTCTTTGTTGTCCCCCACCTACCGTCGCGCTCGGCCCTGATGGGGAACGAGCGGCTTCGGATTGTAGGCAGTTCGCCGATATTCCCTCTTTACGCTTCTGTTCAGATATTCTGTTCACATATTAACACTTTATCGTCCGGTCGTGGTTGAGGCTGCCACTCAGTAAGGACTGGCTTAGTCGCGCGCGCATTTGCTCCCAGTACCGGCTAAATTTTCGCTATTCATTGTGTTGTGCTTATTCCTTTAAAAATAATAATAAATAATAATAATTATTATAATTATAATTCATAAGGATATGGGGAGGTCGGCATACAGGAGGTCAGCTACTAACAAAACAGTAAAGAAGCGAAAACCGTCGATAGCTAAAAGTCGATTAATAGGCTATCGGTCGATAAGCATTGGCAATCGAAAAGCCGATTGATAGGCTAGCGATCGATAAACATTGGCAATCGAAAAGCAGATGAATAGGCTAGCGGTCGATAAAGTGTTAACGCTAAACCTACCGCGGTCAAAGTGACCGCTTTCTTATTTTGCAATTCTGCAAAGTTTCGAGACTCTTTCGTGGAAAATGCTTGAATAAGTTACATTATTGGAGCAAGTTTTATAATGAAAATTTTACAAATTCCAAATAAATTCGCATCTTCTCACTTTTGTGAAGCGGTACATGCCAGTTAGTATCACTGCTTGGTAGGTTTAGTGTTAAAAGACGAACGTTTCATTGAATTGAAGCGTTTTCTTCGATGAAATAAAAATTCCAAAGCGAAGTTACGCGGCATCGATTAATTTCTCGACGCTTTTACGCTATGTGACGAATCCTAATCGAATTAAGAAATTATAGCGGATCAGCGTGAACGCTAAGTTAAAAAAGTAAAGTTTAAATAATTCTGTCACGCGCGTACCAGTGCCGCGGCAGTCGAAGCGTTAATAACTGTAATTATGATACACCTTTTTAATTTTGCGATTACGATATACAGTAATGTCTCTCTAACTGACGCTCAGATTGTCCAGAAAAGTGGACAATTTGGGAATAGGAGTTGCGATTGTTCGAGCTCCGCGGTTCGTTCTTATAGTTACGAATTATCAACAACTATAAAAACGAAATGCAAGGCACGAATAATCGTATCTCCTCTTCCCAAATTGTTCATTTTTGTGCACAATCTGAGCGTCAGTTGGGGAGACATTACTGTATTGTACTAATAATATAAGTAGGGTAAATTTTCTTAATTAGGACTACGCGTACTTAATAATATGACTCCCGCCGTCAAAGTGTTAACGCTAAATAAATGAATAAGGAAAGTACTTCATCAAAGTTTGTATTTGTTAAGTTTCTTAACAGTAAGCCAACCGACCTGTAATGATGATAAGCGTGCATTGACTCGTAAGAGTGAAGAGATAAAATTCATTCGGATTTTGTAAAGTTTGAATTATGAGACTTGTTTCAATAATATAATTTATTCAATCATTTTCCACGAAGAAGTCTCCAAAGTTTGTAGTATCGTAAAATAAAAAATCGGTCATTTTGACCGTGGTAGGTTTAGTGTTATATATAATATTGTATAATTAAATAATATCTGATAATATCGCGGAAGCAAATTGTTTTCAAATCAAATTAATCGAAATAATCCAGACGCGAAAATTGTACATTTTGGAACATTATAAACACAGCATAAATCTGGGTTAATAAAGTAGCGGATGCTTCTTCCCCGAAATAAAATATGATAAAATATGTAGAGATAAACAATTAAAAATCTTCATCCCGGCGACATATTGAAAAATCATCGAAATCGGTGAGGGGAAACCTTCTATGCATAATTACAAAGAACAATAATTGCACGAGGATCGTACTCGAAGCGAACGAATCCTTTAACAAACCCAGTCGCTCGAGCTAACGCGAAACGACTAAGCCGTTGAAGAGAATGTTGAGAGTTAACTGGTACGAGGCATCATCCCCTCGCTCGTAAACGCCAACGCCTCGTAATTATAACGATACGTTCCGTTCGAACGTAACGAGCAGACCGGGGATCGGCGAGTCGTGGCTCGCTGGTTTACCACTTTCGAGCGGCTCGTTACGATGATCGCGTAGAATCACAAATCAATCAACCTTTCCGGTCTTTACAACGAGTTTGACGCGCGCGACCTGCGATCGTAGCCTAGTGATTTGCGAATTATCTACATGCATGCCGATGAATTATCGTCGCTTACCGAATGGAGCTCGAAGACTTTCAACCGCTCGTAGCGACTCGCCCAACGTCGTCCTCGGATTGCGGTTAGACGTTTGGGTGGGTACCGATTCTCTTTGTCCTCCTACGATCGATGGTAACGGAGCCTGTCCGTCTACCGAATCTTCGAATTTGGTAGAAAAATTACACCGATTAGCTGTAAAGATACTAAGAATTTTCGGAAAGATTGGACGCGCACGGAATTCGCGTGAAACTGGCCGACGATGCTCGATTGTTCGAGTCGTAGATGGCGTTCGAGTAACAGCGATACATTCATTTGCCACTAAGCTGTGCAGTGCTGTATCTATAGTCAAATTTACGTGACATATTGGGTTGGGGAATAAGTTCGTAGCGTTTTTATATTTTCTTTTGCTGTTCGACAAAGTGTACAATATTCATTCGATAGAGCTCTTTCTGCTCTACAAAACTGTGCTAGTCGTCTTTTTGAGTAGTTTAATTTTTTATTACTTTTGAGGCTTAGAAATGGAATATCCAGGAGGTAAAAAGAAACGTTTTCGACACCTTCTCTTCTTCGCTTTTCATCGATGTCAAACAGCTGCTGAAGCAGCCCGGGAGTCTACAGCACGGAAATGGTTTACGTAGTTCAAAAATGGCGATTTTGACGTCAACGACACGCCCCGCAGCGGAAGACCTGAATTGGAATTTAACGCAGGTTCACAATTTTTCGGCAAATTCCATTGAATGAAGATGATCGCAGTTCATTTTTTCTGCCAATTCACGACTTGTTTGGTGACCGCCCTCCTTCGAAAGTGCTTTGAGACGCTCTTCGTCGAATTATTTTTTAGGTAACCTAACATTTTTCATTTTCAGTAATAATTCGGAATACTTTTATCATTGTAGTTCACGTAAAATCGGACTGCGTTGTTCGGAAGAGCTTACGATTATTCAGTTGCTAATTAATTAATTCGATTTACGCGACGTATGGACTCATTTTAAGCAGAAGAATCTCAGCTAAGCATCGATGCTGCTTATTAGAGATAGGTTAGGCCATCTTTCTCTGTCCACGGTGTTTTTTTAAAACCTCGACTGCCACGCCAAACGGTTAAAAGACGGCAAAAAATTAAAGCAACTTCATTTAATCAAATTACAATTAAAAAGATGCATGACATAAACACATGACATCGATTCAAGATTAATAATAGATTATATAAAATTATATAATGTAATAATATAATTATTAATAATAGATTATATAATAAAAGATTATAATAGATTTGACATAGCAGTGAAAGCGTTAAATGTCGAATCGATGTAAATTTAACCGTGTACGATCTCATCGCGATTCGTAAATATGTACTTGCAGGAAGGCTCGTAGGTAATGGAAGAACTTTTTTGAATAAGAATTGATAGGATGACCCGAGCTTTTCCACGGGGGGTAATCTGCCGGAGATTTTTCCAGCGATCCTGATCCGCTTTTTCATCCCGTAGCGATTGAAAGTGTCCGAGGCGTGTAAAGGCACGTCGTCGCGTGGATAATGGCTTATTAACAAAGCGTTCGCCAGACGCGCGAGGAAGTGACAGAGCGGTCACCGACCGTGGGCAACGAAAAAAAGAGGGAGAGAAGAGGATGGTGTTGGTCAGCGGGCAAGAAAGGGAGAAAGAAAGGAAGACGGTGAGTCCTGACGCCAGGAGTCCAGTCACGGGTTTCGTCGACGCCTTCCAAAGAGAAAGAAAGAGAAAAAGAAAGAAAGAGAGAGGGAGAGAGAGAGGAAGGAACAAGGAGAGCGAGTGAGCGAGAGCAGGGTCCTGGCGCACAACGGAGCTTTAATTACGTCGATATCACGGTAATTAAGCCGATCAATGCGTGCCATTGTGCAACGGCCGCGGGGCCCCATCGGCTCTTAAGGCCCATCCATAATCACGGCCGAGGACCCCCTTCGTTCGACACAAAAGCACCCCGTCTCGCGGGACACCAGGATATGCGGTACCTGCGCCCAGGGATCTTTACGAGTGACTTCTTTTTTGCGGGGAAACCATGACAATGGCCGGGCAAAAATCGACGCGTTCCGGTGCGCGTGATTCGATTCGTTTAATTGAGACACCGGCGATGTGTTATTTTTGCGCGTCCTCGCCGGAATGTCTGCAGGGTAGGAATCAGGAAGTCATCAAAGTTACATTCATGCTCAGGATCGGGACCGATGAGAGTCCCGACGAATTCTGCATTGTCCGAGTTGATGTTCGCATAAAACTCGGCTCGACAACCTATAGGCGACTTAACGTTTAATGTACATTTAAATATACGGTGCGACGCGATCCTTAATCTTCGGAGGCATCGCCTCGAGTCATTTTTTATCCGCATCTAGGCGACGCGACGTCGCGCGTGCTCTTTGTATTGCTGGCGACGAGTGGGGGGGGGGGGGAGCAGAATAAATTTACCTTCGACGCAGAGAGTGCCGAAAAATGAACCCCGAAAGTTCCCATCAAATCTAAGTGGATGGTATTTTAACTATTTTGCATCCTAAACATTCTAGACAAATTCGGTTCGTTCAAATATACAGGATGTCCCAAAAATGTCTCGCAATCCGAAAGTGGCGGGTTCCTCGGGTCATTTGAAGCAACTTTTCCCTTTACAAAAATTTTCTCCGAGGCACCGTTAACGAGTTATTAACGAAAAACAGTGATCAATGAGAGGCCAGCTCAGCTTGCGCGAGGCGGCCGAGCCGACGGCGCCAGCGGTCGAGCGGTCGAATCCCAGCTCAGCTGGCGCGAGGCGACCGAGCCAATGAGCGGAACTGGGCTTCGTGCGCTGGTTGGCTGGGCCGCCTCGCGTCAGCCGTACTCGATTCTTATTGGTCACTGTTTTTCGTTAATAACTCGTTAACGGTGCCTCGGAGAAAATTTTTGTAAAGGAAGAAGTTGCTTCAAATGATCCGAGGATCCATTTCCAGATTGCGAGACATTTTTGGGACACCCTGTATTATAGCGAAAAGGCTATACTAGAATCTAACGATATTCTTATTGTTAACAATTTTTGAAGTAATAATTAAATAAAATGGACAAGACGGCTTTAAAATATCGAAACTTCGACGCCATACAAAATAATTAAATAAAATGTTTAATTCAATCATTACGTTATAATAAAAATAACGAAAAGATTAAATAAATTCAGTCTTATCGTTGAAAAAGAACGCGTGCCCGGATTTATAGTTGATCACGACTGACGTCACACGATACCGATTCGTTCGCAGCTGTTATTCGTAAAAACGTTTCTGTTCCGTGTCAGCCTGCACCTCTTATTTAGCGGAGATATTTCGGAAAAAGAGCAAACAAGCTGCCGGGCCCCGGGGCACGGTGTTCCGGGGTTACTTTTGAAAATCGTAGCATCCGGTGGCGTTGCACGGTACGTTCCCACATGGGTCGCGTCCTTATTGCCAGGTTCCGAATCAATTACTCCGTATACGTTTGGCGATCGACAAATTGTAATCGCGGCGGCTGCAATCATCGAACGCTTCTCCAATTTAGGGGACATCGAGTGTGAAATTCGTAGCTCAAGGCGCGGCTGATCTCGTGTCGGATCGTCGTTCCGCGAAGTAATTGCTGCCCTATCCGGACGCAATACCAAAAATTCGTCGAAAATCGCTTCGCCCGAAGCGGTCTCGCTTCAGGGAGGTTCGCGTACGCAGACACGACAATACCGCGTTAATCGAACGGTACAACTTTATAATTTTCCGCACGATATCTTCTCATAATGTGGCTCGGTTATCAATTACCTCGGGCAGGGGCGAGTCGTTTCGGCCGCGGGCCACCAGCTCCACTACTACTACTACTACTACTGCTACATATGTATATACTCCGCGCATATTGCTGCACATCGCATGGACAGTACCGCGTGGAGCACCGAAGAAACAATATCGTATCGTTCTTCGCGTCGCGCGAGTGTGCGAGGGACGAGTCAGATTTGGGCCCACGGGCCGCGACTCGTCCATGCCTGAATTACCTTATTAAATCCTCCAGGCTCTCCGACCCTTCCTCGTAGTCCAGATTCAACCACCTCGAGTCCTTGCAAAAATTCCCTCCCCCCCCCTCCTCTTTATTTCATATTCACTTAACGTTCGAAAGATTTCATTCCTTGAACCTTTGTATGTACAATAATGTCTCTCTAACTGACGCTTAGTTGTGCAAAAAAAATGGACAATTTGGGAACAGGAGATACGATTATTCCGGCTTTGCACCATGCTTTTATAATCGTTGACAATCGGTAACTATAAAAACAAGTCGCAAGGTTCGAATTCGCAAGGCTCCTCTTCCCAAATTGTCCATTTTTGTGGACAATCTGAGCGTCAATTAGGGAGACATTACTGTATTCGGTTGTTTCGGATCATTTCCATTCGAAGCGTATTCAATGTATCCTATCAGCCGAGTCGATGCGAGATAAAGTTGCCGAATCGATTACAGTAAGCAGAAGATAAAACGAAAATAAATAACTTCGTCTGATAATTTCAACGGATTCGAAAATATTGTAATAACTAGATATTTTAAGCACTTCTGACAAAAATGACTTAGCGAAGGGCAAAATTGAGAAATTATTAGAGGAATTTAAGGATACTGTTGCATTATTTTCTACTCGTTTACAAGCATTAAAAGGGGAACTTGTGTTTCTTGCAATTAACTTAAATAATTTTGATCTTTCGCATAAAGACAGGCAATCTGGTAATATCATTACGAAATTCTTCGACCGTCTTCTTCCAGTTTTGCGTTCACTGCTGATCAGAGATGCATGAAATCGTTCCAACAATGTTCTATCTGCAATCGTAACGCAAAGAATCAAAGTTATAATAAAAAAGGGAGAGAAGGGAAAAAAAATTTGATCACCCTATAGAAAAGTCACGAGAAGATCCTAGTGCATTCCGCAGGTGCATCGTCGCGTTCCGAATCTCGATATCCCCTGCACCAACGAGAATATTCCCGAAACTGCGTGGTCATTGTTCCATTGTGCCCTGTCCCAATTACAAGAAACGCTGTCAAGGTCGCATTACATCGACCCGAGGACTTCTTCAGCGATGGCACCGCGAACGCGCTTGGTCACTGTTTATCGAGGTTTATCCCGCGGGTTAACCCTTAAATGCATGATTTTTTGTTTTGTATTTTGAAAAATCGTTTTTTATAGGAATGTAGTCATAGGTTACGTAAAAAATAAATAAAAAAATCTAGGTAATAATATTGAGTATTTATTTTGAAAATAAGTTGTATGTAGACTTTTGGCAACAATATGCGTTTATTACTAAAATTATTGTAGACGTAAACAAATGGTCATGTATTTATATTATCTATTAGTATAGGAATCGAATGCAACATCAAACATTCATAGCTTACCTGACAACAGATGAGAAGTAATTTTTTTTTCGATTAGATAAACCACTCCTTTATAGGAAACTCGAAAAAAGAAAATATCTCTCCAAGTAACACATTGTAGGTTATCACCCACCACATTCAAATGTCAAAAAACATATAACTTACTCGCCAAAAGTAATGTCAAGTCTCTTATTTCACACATGGTCTATTGTCTATTGTTATCAACGTGTGTTCGGAAACGCACATACTCAGGTTTTTGAATAAAATTAAATGAAACTAGAATGTAGACAATCGGCAACAATATGCATTTAAGGGTTAAACTTCCGTGGCGGTAAGAGAGAAGACGAGACTGACAGCGGGGACGCGGCGGGAGGGTGGATGATTTGTTTGCGGCCGCCCTCGGCGTTTTCTCTGTTTGTAGTAGGAGTTAGGCCAACGAAACCGTGCCCGCAAAGCGCCGCTTCGAGGAACGAAATAACTCGAAACGGTACACTTTTTACCTTTATTCTTCGAGCCGCTGTTTGCGCCGGCGTTTCACGAAACACGAGCGGAAGAGGATCATCAAGCTGCTCGCCGCGATCTCCTTCTGTCGTTCTGGACAGATGCGTACTTCCAGTGGGGAGAGGCCACGTTCTCGTTCCATTAACCGTGTTTATCCGGAACTGTTTGAACTTCAAACTTTGCGTTCCAGAAGGCGAACATTGTCGAGCGGTCCTTTTTTGGAACGCATTCCCGAAGATGCGGAACACGCTTTGCAACTTCGTGGCCGCGTCGCTCGTCCTTCTGTCTACAATTGATCTCGTAATGATGTTTTTTTTACATATGTTCTGGTAACGATAATAAATATACAATCTTCTGGAAACAATACTGAGCTAACAATCTTCTGGAAACAATAATAGAAAAAGCTACTGCAATTAGAAAAGATAAGATTCGCATTTGGAATCTTCTCGCAGCTAACAAATCTTTATCCTCCTAATAGACGATGATAAAAATTGATTTATGAAAGAAAATTGCATCATCTGAACGCGACAATGATATGACAATCGGAGTGTTAACGACTACAATCTTTATAAGAGCTACCGAAATCGTAAAATTTGTACCTCACTTATGGGTTATGGGTTAGACTTAAAATGTTAAAAAGACAAGTGAAGTAAATAATGAAGTTACTATAAGTTTACTTGACTCTAAAATATCTCAACAATAAATTTGGTCAGTAAACGATACGCATATTAGTAAACAATAACGCTCTTCGTTTCCGGGAATGGGGATAAAATGTGACTTACGCCACTGCGATTCCCCCCACTCGTGCATAAACGTGTACCATCGTGAAAAATAAATTGAAATGAAAATGTAACGTTTCAGGTGACGGTAGCTAGCACGAGCACGCCAAGCACCAACACCGTTCATCCCAACGTTAACGACATGGACTGGTTCGCCGGCGTAGCCGAGGAGGAATTGCTGTATTACACGGGCGTCGGTAACGACGTCGATTCCCTTTGGGCTGTGATAGGAAGCTTTGTGCCGCCGCCTCCTAGACCACCTTATTTACCGGAGGAGGGTGTCACCACCGACGGACTCACCACCTGTGATTTGTGCTCGTGGGCGTGGAGGAACGACAGGCATTCCTTTTCCCTCGACGGCACTCTCGGTAAGTGTTTGCCACCGTAACTTCCTGCTTTCGATGCGGCCGATTCCACCGCATTCAATTCCAACGTTCGCCACTTGCAATTCGAGTGATTCGCGCCTAATCGCCTAACACCGGTGTCGCAGTCCAAACTGGAGACTTTAGAAATTCATTCGAGATTCGTGGTTTATCGGCTTTCTTCTTGGACGTCCGTTCTTGTCGTCGCTATGTATGGGGTATACGGAAGAACGTTAGGATGATTATACGTAATCAGTTGATTGCAGTTATTTTGTAGTAACAATTTATTCTTCCATGTTTTTCTCATTTTTCTGAGAATTGATGGATGGCCTGTCTAGAATTGAATTAACACATATTTTTACGATTTTTAATTGGGTCTATTATTACCATGATTACTGAGGGTTAATACCATTTGCAATGACTGTGCGACGTCGAAGAGAAATTAGAAGAATCATCCCTGATAGAATAATGACTTGACTGCTGATCTATCTGAAAAATAAAAATTTTACAAGACGATTAAGAAACAGACATTAAATAAGAATCGGTTGTTTTATTTAATAATTTTGTGAAGTTGGACATAGCGTAGTAGCATTATTAAATTTTTCTTACGCCTCTACGATTTGGTATGTCAACTACTTATCTTCCTATTTACCAAAGTAGTACATGGTATAAAATAAATAGAATTAGCGGGAAAATATTTTCCTGCAGCCTACGTAAATTCATTTAATTAATGAAAACAGGAAACTACGTTTTCGAAGCAGCTCGGTCCTTTATCAAATGCACGTTATTACCAATGAAGAAATTAGCGGAGGTCTAAGAACAGCACATTTTGGGGCTCTAAATAAAATAAACGTAAACCGGTTATCCCATGTTACACAAAGTAAACAAATCGAGTGTCTGCGAACGGAATTAACAGCTTCCGTGGAAACTGTGTATTTTTCTTTGGAGGACTTTTCTAAGCCGAGGTCCCAGAAATCTGCTCGATTCGTTCATCTTGTCAGCACTTCAACGGAGAAGGGTTGAGAAACTGTTGCTGTTAGGCGACGTCGGGTGGCCGCGTGGTTCCTTCTGTACACAGCGGGCCGTATTTGCGCGCTGTTTGCTCGTCAAACAGCTTTTCTGGTCTAGTGGATCCTCCAGAGGAGTGGGACTCTTTTCATCGCGTCGGTTAGAAGTCGCCCGTACCCCGTTAATCGTCGGATGACTCGCGAAATATTTCTCGCGGCGCGGAGCGAGCGCGCGGTTCCGTGTGTTTTCGAAGATTTCTCGCGGTGTTCGCGGCTCGATCTCCACGCCTGCCGGGGCGAGCTTTCGCGACGGTTTATTACACGATGCAACGATGTACAACAACTGGAGAAAATGATGCCTATTATCGGGGGCCCGGCCGTGCCCCGGCCCGGGCACGCCTGCCGTTCCTCTCTTTTTTACACGCGAAAAGGGGTTAGCGATTTCATTACTCGGAGAGAGGCTCTCCTCTCGGAGAGAGTCGGTGGTTAGGCAGCTGCGGGTACGGTCGCGCCACGTTTGCCAGCCTGGACGGCTATTAGATGGGTGGGGGCAAACGAGGCGAGCTTCCCCATTAGCTCGGCCACGAGCCGGCCCATTAGCTTTCGATGACGACCAATAGAACGATAAGATATGGATCCCTTGAGCAAACACCGGCACCGGCGAAAACTCGACGGATCCGCTCGCAAACGAGTCCCACCGAACGATCGATCAATCCTCGACCGATCTGCTATCTCCCGGCTACATAACTTTACCGGAGGAACAGCCGACCAACATTCTCCGGACGATGGATTTCGTCGCGTGGTACATTAACGTCCCGTTCCACGAAGCTGTTGACGATGTCATAATCGATACGAGCCGGGGCCGTGCTCGATACGCGAAAAAGAAACGAAGGTGCGCGTCCGTGCGCGTGTGTGCGAGACCGTGTACACGCCGTCTTTCAACGTGGCCGGTCCTCCAGGTCGAAGGTCACCGGCTGGCCTCACCATGGGAGGCCCGAGCTCCGTGTCTGTAAAACTCCTCGCCCCCTCTCCGTCTCTCCCGGCCCTCTCTCTCCCTGTCCTTCATTCGATTCGCGCTAATTCTCGTGACGGACAAATTAAGACAGATAATTCAAGGGCTCGCCCTCGGTGCGGCCCGACCTCCACATCCGGTACGCACGATTCGACCAATCCGAGCGATTCGACCACTCCTCCGATTCTCAGCCGCTTGCACCCTTTGCTAAAAGGATAGCGGGTTCCATACGTCGTGATTCTGTGATTTTCTAATTTTCTGCACAAAAGGACAGCAACGTTCGACCTTGTTTTTGCGATAATCCATGGTTACGATATTTGTTCACACGCCAACGATTAGACCGTAGCATTCGGCTGAACCCTTTACTATATGATGTCGCGATAGACTCGTTGCGAAGATTTGGAGCATAATCAACTGTATGCGAATGTTGTTCGCGTCTTTTAACACTAAACCTATCAAGCAGTAATACTAACTGGCATGTACCGCTTCACAAAAGCGAGAAGACGTGTGCGCCGTTCCCGGAACGGCCGCGATAGGTGACGGAATCGATTTGAACGCTTAACACTTTATCGACCGCTAGCCTATTTATCGGCTTTTCGATTGCCAATGTTTATCGATCGCTAGCCTATTAATCGGCTTTTCGATTGCCAATGCTTATCGACCGATAGCCTATTAATCGACTTTTAGCTATCGACGGTTTTCGCTTCTTTACTGTTTTGTTAGTAGCTGACCTCCTGTATGCTGACCTCCCCATATCCTTATGAATTATAATTATAATAATAATTATTATTTATTATTATTTTTAAAGGAATAAGCACAACACAATGAATAGCGAAAATTTAGCCGGTACTGGGAGCAAATGCGCGCGCGACTAAGCCAGTCCTTACTGAGTGGCAGCCTCAACCACGACCGGACGATAAAGTGTTAACACTAAACCTACCGAGCAGTAATACTAACTGGCATGTACCGCTTCACAAAAGCGAGAAGACGTGTGCGCCGTTCCCGGAACGGCCGCGATAGGTGACGGAATCGATTTGAACGCTTAACACTTTATCGACCGCTAGCCTATTTATCGGCTTTTCGATTGCCAATGTTTATCGATCGCTAGCCTATTAATCGGCTTTTCGATTGCCAATGCTTATCGACCGATAGCCTATTAATCGACTTTTAGCTATCGACGGTTTTCGCTTCTTTACTGTTTTGTTAGTAGCTGACCTCCTGTATGCTGACCTCCCCATATCCTTATGAATTATAATTATAATAATAATTATTATTTATTATTATTTTTAAAGGAATAAGCACAACACAATGAATAGCGAAAATTTAGCCGGTACTGGGAGCAAATGCGCGCGCGACTAAGCCAGTCCTTACTGAGTGGCAGCCTCAACCACGACCGGACGATAAAGTGTTAACACTAAACCTACCGAGCAGTAATACTAACTGGCATGTACCGCTTCACAAAAGCGAGAAGACCGAATTTATTTGGAATTTGTAAAGTTTTTATTATAAAACTTGCTCCAATAATATAATTTAGTCAAGCGTTTTCCACGAAAGAGTCTCGGAACTTTGCAGAATTGCAAAATAAGAAAGCGGTCACATTGACCGCGGTGGGTTTAGTGTTAAATCGAACTCAAGTTCTAGTCTTGCATTATCAACGTTTGAACGCCGATGCGAAGGCTGGCATTAATGCGAACACAATAAATGCAAATTTTCTTTCCGGTGTAGGAATTTATTGTAGTTGCAACGTTATGTCAAGGTTATATCAAAGGTTATGTCAAATCGGCATTGATTGAGTACAGAAATTTTTGATACTTAAAATGTTAGAAAACACTATACAGTAATGTCTCCCTTACTGACGCTCAGGTAGGTTGTGTACAGAAATGAACAATTTGGGAAGAGGAGATACGATTATTCGAACCCTGCGACTCGTTTTTATAATTGTTGACAATCGATAACCATAAAAAACGAGCAACAAGCCTCGAACAATCGTATCTCCTCTTCCCAAATGATCCATTTTAGTGGACAATCTGAGCGTCAGTTAGGGAGACATTACTGTATTGCTTGGAAAGCAATTGTAGAAAATCGATGGATAGTGGAAAACGTAGGTATTTTTCGTTTTAATTTAATTTTGATCGGTGCATCTTTATACGTGTAATATGGCATCTTCGAGAAGACTGTTTGTTTCTTTTCGTCAGATTGAAGCGTACTCGTGAAACGTAACAAGCTTTCCAGACGATCGAATATTAATGTAACGACATATATATATCGCGCGCGCGAAATGGTATCTAGTTTTTAATTGCAAAAAGGACAAACGTTGACGGTCGAATCAATCTTCGGGTCGAAGAATGTAGAAAGCTGGTTGGAAGATAGCGGGAGCTAAATTACTAGGGTCTGCTAAGGTAGCCGTCTTACGCAACGCGATCGCGACCGTCGCATCGGTTGTTGCGTAAAATGGCCGCTCTAATGGCCCCGGGAGAGACCGTTCGTTAAAAACTGTTTATTTAAAAGGAAATAGCAGGTTGGTGATAACAGGATACGAATAACTGCACAGCGTGGGCTGAACTGCTCTTTAAACTGTCGAGATATTCGAAGATTGATACTAATGAGTAATGGTTAGCTGGCTATAAAATCTGTCAGCTGGTGGAACCAGTTAGCCTGACGGATCGCTAACCGCACGCTTCAATTGTGATTAATTGTCTAATCGTAAACGAAAATTTAATCTCCCGATCCGAGATGTCTAGGATGAAAAATAACACGACTTTTCGATAGAAAACGCTCGGATATTCGACGTAGCTCGGTGTTGACGCGAGTTCCTTCGACAACTGGCAATCTCGCATGATCGTTCTCTTTTTGCCAATCTGCTCGAGCGGTTAGGCTATTTACGTTACGAAAAATAATACGCGGTAATCGTGGTAAACCGAATTGTCGCGGTATTCGTGAGAAAAATAAAAAGAAAATAGCGTCGCTGTTTTTCGTCACACACGTCG